CAGCGGCAGGCGCGGGCACGGGCGCGGGCGCGAGCGCGGGTGCGGGTGCTGGTGCCGCCTTCACCGGCCACTCGTACCCGCGCAGGCAGTCTCGTCGGCCCCACAGCAGCGAGGGCACCGAGACGCAGAGCGCCAGCAAGCGCGCTGGCTTCCACACCGACGTGCTGCGGTCCAAGACGGTCAACGAGTCGAGCCAGCACTCTGGGCTCAGGAACCTCTTTCTCGGTGAGTAGATTGGCGTCTGCGCTGGCCAGGTCCGAGTCGATGCGCGGCGGCCCGAGGCGCTGCCTTGGCTGACGCGATCCCGCCCCCGTTCTCATCCGTACCTTGCATTGTCCCTCTTTCCTCCTCGCCACAGACGCGCCAACCACGCCGAATCTCGATCCCGGTGCCGGCCATGCCCACAAGGCGCTCGGCTCGCCGCTCAGCCCGCGCTTGCCAGTGGGCACGGCGGGCGGCGACGGCGGCCAGAGGTCGAGGCCGACGGCGATGGATCGCTCGCCGTACGAGCAAACCACCGGCAGCGGCGGCAGCGCCGGACCGAGCCACAGTCGTGTGGCCGGCCGGGCCAGCGAGGATCTGCTGCGCCAGCAGAGGCCGACGATCCTCACGTGGAACTCGGAGGCGACGCTGACGGGCCGCTCGGACGCCTTGCCAGTGACGCCCGTCATGTCCAACGGCCACTTTGGCGCCGACGGCAGCGGCAGCGGCAGCTCGCCGCGAGGCAACCACCGCCACAGCCCGTCGGCGCCCAGCCAGCTGTCGTCGTACGCCTCGCAGCACCACGACCGGTCGCCGAGCAGCGGGCTGACGCCAGACTCGAGGTTGGCCAGCGGCCACGGCAGCGGCCACGGCAGCGGCAGCGGCAACACGCCACCGGTCCCTCCTCGCAAGGACTCGTACCTCTCGCTGGCGGCAGCGGCGGCAGCAGCGACGCCGTCGTCTTCGTCCTCCAACGGCCTGCTGACGCCGGACGTGGCCGCCACTCATTCGCAGCAGCGGTCGACGTCCGGCCCGCCCGTCACGGGCAGCGGCGGCCCACCACCATCGCCGCATCCGCCGACCTTGTCGAGCAAGGACTCGTCTGGCCTCGTCGTCGGGCTCGGCTTCGAAGGGTCCGCCGGCGCGGCACCACGGCGGCCTTCGCGCGACGTGCAGCAGCCGCAGCGGCCGTCGATGAACATGATGCGCACCGCCACCAGCTCCACGATCGGGTCGCAGAGCACCACGACCGGGCCCGAGGACGGATCGCACCCGTACCACCACGACGACGTCGGCGGCGGCGGCAGCAGCAGCGGCGCGACGGGCAGCGCCAAGGCCAGTGGCGGCGGTACGCTGTCGGGCAAGCGCAAGCAGCTGGTGCGCAACTTCCTCTCGGGCATCAAGAGCTCGGCCTCGGGCAGCGCGTCCAGCAGCCACTGCTGAGGTGCCGGTGCACGGCTGTCCCTTTGGCTTTGGGGTGAGCCCAGGTGCATCGCCAACCGCTCGCCGCGCCGGGGCTGCAGCGGGGCGTCGTCGTCGTCGTCGGCGTGGGCGTCGCATCCGATCCGATCCGATCCGGTCCCACCTGGCGCGAAGATGTGCAGCAGCTGGCCTTTGCCATGCCGGCCAGCCGCGTTGGTCGACCAAGGAAGGGCAGCCTCTCAATGCGGGTCCGATATCTGCCCGCCCTGCTCGCGGGCAGGCGATGTGATGCAAGGGCCGTCGTCGAGTGATGCGGCGTAGAACTCGACCGAGGGGGCCGCGGCCGGCATCCGGGGATGCCAATCTATTTGTCTGTCTATGCTGGAGCCGGGCGAAGTCGTGGACACAGGGCCTAGTTTCGAGCGCCGGCGGGGACGCTGCTGGGTCGGCAATCAGTTGAAAGCCTGTTTCTCCTCGACGATCTGGGGCGGCATGCCGGTGCAAGGGCGAGGGCGGCGGTGTCAGTCTTTGCCCTTTCGCCCTGACGACCACTGCCGGTGGACCCTCGGCATCCTGGACTTGGACTCACCTTGAGGAGCAGGTCCTGGTGTCGAAAGAAAGGGGGATAAGGAGGAGGACAACGACGACGAGGGTGTCAGCGGCTTGGCCTCGCGGGCCGGTCACAGTGCGGTGTGGTGCGGTGTGGTGCGGTGCGGTGCGGTGAGGTGCGGTGCGGTACCGGGCCGGCTCACCTCGATGCGCTTGTTGCGCGCCTCGATCTCGCGCATCTTGTCCATCAAGTGGCGCGTCTCGGTCACATCGTCGCGCGCGACCGGCGCACGCGGCGCCGACTCCGAGCGCGACCGCCCTCCGCCACCGCCGCCGTCCGCCTCGGCGACCGCTCCGTCCTTGTCTCCGTCGTCGTGCCAGTCGCCGTCGCGCGACGGAGTCGAGGGCCCCTCTTGGACCTGCTTGGCATCGCGCCTGCTCGACCTTCGTCGCGCCGCGGTGCGACTCTCGCCATCGGGATGCGACGGTGGCTGCTGCGGCTGCTGCGGCTGCTGCGGCTGCTGCTGCTGGTTGAAGCGGCCGTACAGCTTGGCCAGCGGCGAGCTGAGCGAGCCGAGGGCGCGGGGCTCGTAGTTGCGGCGGGCCTGATGCTTGGCTGTCGACGTCGTCTTTGCCCTCCGAGGTCGCTCGGCCCTCTCGGGAGGCCTGTCGACGCTCTGTCCGGGCGAGGCGGACGACACCTCGATCGTGGGCTTGTCGCCGTCGGCCTCTGCCGGCCTGGGCTTGTCGGCGCCGGCAGCTCCAGGAGGCTTGCCCAGGTCGACCAGATGGGCCTCTGCCTCTGCCGCCGCCGCCGCGGGGGCGTCCGAGGCGTCGTCGCGCCGCTCTCGAGCCGGCTCCGCCTTGGCCTTGGCGGTGTTGGCGCCGCTGCCGCGCTCCGAGACGACCTGGTCGAAGCGCTCGGCTGCGCGCTCTTCCCAGCTGCCGTCCATGTGGCGCCTGCGGACGCTGCTGCTGCCGCCGTCGGTGGTGTCGCCGTCGCTGTCGCCGTCGCCGTCGGTGTCGGAGCCGCCGCCGTCGCTGGCCGACGACGACGACGACGAGGTGGTGGCGGGGCGGTACTCGAACGCCGCCTCGATGACGTCGAGGCCGCCGTTGCCGCCCCAGCCGTCGAGGCTCGAGTTGATGATGGGCATCCACGAGATGAGGCTCTTGCCTCGCTCGGCCGACAGGCTGATGCCGGCGCCAAACGAGTGGAGCTCGCAGAAGCGGATGACGAGCAGCACGGGGAACGAGGTGAGCCGGATCATGAGGACGTTGATCTTGTGCAGCCAGCGCGGCGTCAGCACGTAGCTGAGCGGCATGACGACGATGACGGCGAGCAGGTTGAGCGGCGGCTGGTAGCTGAAGATGGCGTCGGTGCTGATGCCCGCCATCGTCTTGCAGGCGAACTGGTACATGGCCTCCTCTGCGGCGTTCATGGCAACGATCTGGAACGTGTTGGACAGCAGCGAGATGAGCACCGTCAGCAGCAGGGTGTTGGAGAGGATCGTATAGAGGATCATCAGGGGCGGGCCGAACTCGAGGGTGAAGCTCTTGGCCTCGTCGAAGCCGAGCTGTCGTGGAGCGGCGCGATGGGGGCGCGAGAGGGTGGATAGGGCGGGGTCAGGTCAGTTCGGCTGCTCGGTCGTCGGGCGGGCGAACCGGAGCGTCTCGACGACACGACACGACACGACACGCGGCGACACTCACGTAGCTCGACCCGAACCACACCTTGAGCATCAGCCAGAGCACCTCCTTGAACGTCCAGCGCGGGTCCGAGGCGAGCATGGTGAAGGACACGGCGAAGCCCGAGAAGCAGACGCAGGCGAGGACGGTGAAGAAGGCAAAGTCCGAGATCATGGCCTTGAGGCTGAGCATGACGACGTTGTCCTGCACCAGCGCGCTGGCGACGCGCGGGCAGAGGAGGACGGCGCCAAGGGCGAGGCAGTCGAAGCTGAGGTCGCTGCGGGCCGGTAGGCCGTGGCGCAGCGCCGAGACGCGCAGCCCGAGCCAGAAGAGCGAGATGAGGCAAAAGGAAAAGTCGAGCAGGTTGTAGAACGAGGTGAGGTAGTGGGCGAGGCCGCGCTCCTGCAGCTGGGCCAGCTCGTCGACGGCGAAGCCGACGACCCACAGGGCGAAGAGGGTCTCGGCGGCCGTCCAGGTGGGCGAGCCCTTCTGGGCGAGCGCCAGCACGTAGAGGACGAGGATGACGAGGAAGTTGAAGAACTCGAGCTTGCTGCGGATGCTGGGGACGCGCAGGCGCAGGTGGTTGAGCAGGGGCGCCTTGTGCGGGTCGTAGATGCTGAGCGGCCGGCGCTTGTAGCTGTCGTTGACGATGGCGTGTGACGCCTGGACGGGCGACAGGACGACCTTGCCGTGCCAGATGCCGTCGATGCAGCGCTGGCAGAGGGGCGAGCTGATGAGCTTCTTGGCCTTGGAGAGGATGGCGAGCTCGAGCGTCGACGAGTACTGCTCGGCCGGCAGGCCTTGGCCGCGGATCTCGTCGAGCGAGATCGACGACGACGAGGCGGCCAGCTCGGCCAGCTCGGCGTCGGTGGCGCCCGACAGCGGGTGGAACGAGGCCGAGAGCGCCGTGACGAGCTCGAGGCCGTCGTTGGAAAAGGTGCGCAGCAGCTTGATGGCCAGCAGCTCGCACAGGGCGGCGCGGGTGAGGTTGACCGACTGGAAGGCGAGGTCGCGGTTCGCCTCGCGCTGGAAAAAGATGCGGTTGAGCAGCAGGCAGTAGAGGATGGCGATGGAGCGGAAGCCGCTGTACTTGATGGCCAGCGGCCGCACAATGGTGAAGTTGAGGTCGACGCTCGTCAGCTCCTCCCAGGTGAGGTGGGTGTCGATTGTGGTGCGCAGGTCGCGGCGGATCTCGTGGATCAGGTGGAAGACGTCCTGCCGCTCGACGACCCGGACCATGTCGACACCGTCGTCGCCCTCGGACTCGAGCAGCCGGTCGCCGTCCCGCGGATCCGCGCCGTGGGTGGTGAACGGTCCAGGGCGAAGGTAGGAGGTGGCGGCGGTGGCGGCCGTGGTGGCGCGGCGGTCCTCGTTACTGGCCGCTGCGGCGCCCCGATGCTTGCGGCGCGTGCTCTGGTGGCTGTTGCGGCGGGAGCTGCGCGAGGCTATCGACGCAGCCGCCGTGGCCGAGGCCGACTGCGACCCGCCGTCGTGGTGCCCTGCGGCGCCCATGTCGACGTCGAAGAGGGAGGGGTGGCGGAGGGAGAAGGCGTGGGCGTTGCGGCGCTGGGAGCGGAGGGACGATGCGGGGATCCGCTGCGATACGACCTTGGACATCCGTCGCGGTCACGGCGGCAGGACGGCGGTGGCTGGAAGGGGGCGGGGAACCGTGGAGGGCGCGGACCGCTCTGCCGGGAGCTGCCTTCTTAAAGGGCCGCGCGGGTTGCGGTTGGGGTTCGCGGCGACGAAGCGATGCGATACGATGCGATGCGTGGGGCGGTGTTGCGACTGCTCCTGCCTGCCCCGTGCGCCGCGGCCCGGCACGGCCGAAGCGCTATTGTGATGTGACGACGGAAGGGCCCGACGTCGACGAGCGCGGGCGCGGTGGTGGGTCTCGGCTCTGCTCTCTGGCCCCTCTTCAACTGGCGCAATCCGGAGGCAGGGCGTGTGTCGGAAGTGCCGCCGTAAAGTTTTGGGGGTGGCGAGGATCGGATCGATACGAAGAGAAGGTGGAAGAGGGGAGGAGGGGAGGAGCGGGCCAGAGAAGTCGTAGGCCTAGGGTCAGGGGGCCAGCGGCGAGGGTCGAGGCTAGGGTTAGGCTCGAGGCTTCCCAGAGCCAGACGCCCGCCGCACCGCCCGCCCGCCCGTTCGCTTGCTCGCTTGGCTGCTTGCTTGCGCCCCGCCGGCTTGGCCTGGGCTGGGCTGGGCCGTTGGCCTGCGACGCGGCCAACCTCCACTTT